CCGCTCGACACAATTATTCAGTTACTTTAATTAGCCTGATGTAGAAGTGTTTGAGTTGAAAGGTTTGCTTCCTGTGACGATCTAAGTCTCCCAATAACTTAAGTCCCTTCTCGATGTTCTTGCCGTGATATATAATAATGAAAAACGATTGGTGGATTGTGTAATATGAATACAAATGAAGTCAGCTTTAGATATGGACCAAATTTCCGACAAAAGTTTCGGTCGAAAAAGTAAAGGGTAATATGAGAGACCGAACTACTCAAACATTTTTTGAGAAGCCATGTATGGTGAAAAGAAAACCATGCTCTGTTTTGCTAATGGCCTCTTGAAACAGAATCGGTGCTGACATATTGCGAATATCACGTTTTAAATTGAAACAATGAAATTTTTCAACTGTAGAAAATGTTAAAAGTTGAGAACATCTTGTGTTTAGCATGAAGCAAATCCTCCAATGATCGTTAAGTGAGTAATAAGCAGCGCTTTACACCTAAAATCTAAAGAAGAAGTGAAGGCTCAATGTTTTTTACACAATTGCTTTTTAATAAAAAAAACAGCTTTTTAGTATGGAAAATCGCATGGGAAAAATTCCCTTCTTCCAATGTAAGTATTAACTGGTTTCTTGCACAAAGTCGTATCTTATTCAAATCTGCAAAGTTGTAGCTGCAAATATGATTACTTCCCATGTTGCCCAAACTTCGAATACTGCACGTGAACCATAAAATATAATAATTGGATATTATGGTTTTTTTGAATTTCTCTAATCCTATGCAAATAAATGCAAAGTTCAACCATGCAAACACTATGCCTGGGAATTACAAAATGTTTTAAAGCTTTCAGATGTTCCGGTGTTGACTTTTGATTCTTATGCCCATACGCCTTGGCTTCAGAAGGCTACCGTAAAACTTTAAAGTCTCTTTTTCAGATTCATTCTTCTCTCGCAAAAAAACGTAAGGCAATTCTAAATTACGAAATTGCCATTTTAAGTTGAATGGAAGTGACGTCATTCAAAATGAGCGTTGAATTCTTTCCTTTTTATGCATAAATTTTAGCTTATTCAAAAATCATGAGCGAAAAGACATTTGTAAATATTAATTTTTGATCTCATAGAGACAATAATACTAAAAGGATAAAAATGGAAACTTGACGCACCGGCTCAACAGTTTCAAGAGCCCTTAACCAAAATGAGAACCTTCAATACCGAATGGGTGCTTACGTTGGGTATCTAATGATATATGAAATAACAGCGAAAAAACTGATTTGTCCAAAAAATTGAGGCTTGCGCCGCCCCTCCTGTCATATCTCATACACTTCTGCTGCATTAGCCAGTTTCCTAAAGCAATTTTGCTAATCTGTAATAACTTTGAGTACTTGTTTTCTCCTAAAAGAACTAAGCTGAGTGCGACCAAAAATCTTCAGAAAATTCCCGTCATATTTCTGCTGCTAAAGACTCCCATTCCCACTGAACGGATGTTTGCAGAGTTTGTTGTGCTTTCTTCTGAGCGACTTTGGATTGTTCGCTTCGTTTTTGGTGCTTGCAATTTGTGCCTCATTTGTGTGAACTTGCTAACAATCTGCATTGTATTTTGATGGAAAAAAGCAAAACTACAAAAAGATTTGTGCCCACGCTTGCCAGTATTGCAAAAGAGCATGGTCTCTGTTTCTTCTTCCGTCCCTTCCCCTGTTCCCCTATAGCTAATGAGCTAACAATGAAATGAGGACGCTTTTCTACTAATGCTCAACAGTACCATCAGAGTTTTCCATACTTTTCTCAACTACCAAATAGTACCCTATTTTCCGGCTTATAAGCCGCACCTATCGCAGCGAAAAATGGCGCGAGAACACCCTCGGAAGAAATCGAACAACTCTTCGCTGCGCATGTTCATGTCTTCGAGCATTTCTTTTCTCCTTTCAAACTTTCGGTCGATTTTCCTGCTGTTTAGGTTGTAATCTCTTTAATCAAGGATAAAATGGAATTAACGGTCTTTCTTTTGTTTTCTTTGATGTTTACCCGATGTTAGAGGTGCGCTATCGTTTAATTTCCATGATACTGCTAATATTCTAACGGTGCTTTCAATGCATATGCAACAAAGGATGAAAGCCGAAAATCATTGTCAGGCTACTAGGTAAAAAGGAGGTAATTAGCTGCTTGTGCGGCTTCACGTATCGCGACCGTCTTCGCACATTATCCCGCGCCCGGTAAAATTTGCGACTTATACACTGAAAATAGGGTATTTTAGACCATAAGGTCATCTTTGGGCGCAGTTTACGTCTGTGCGATGTTTGCCGAAGCAACAAATCTTGAGCCTCGTTTGGGTCACTTTTCTAGTCGTTGTGGGCCTCTACTTCAGAAGCTGGGCTATCTAACTTTTTAGGTCATAATGAGTTAATGAGTTCATCCTCAACACAGGGTGTGCTAAAAGTCTTGTAGCCTAGTATTCAACCTGATAAGAACAATAACAATACGGGCTGACGTGGAGATATAATTCAGAGCACAAATTACTAAAACAACAACCAATGCAATAGAGTATTCAAATTTTTGAAGGCATTCTTTCTTGTTAACGGAAGCCTTTGAACTGTTGGCGATTGCCACTGCCGTGTCACGCAGGCATAGTGTGGACCCCGGCCAGCTTCCCACAGGTACCGCCGCGCCGCATACGCAACGCGCGCTCGGCTTTACGCTTCTCGTTTCACCTATCGATAAAAAGCATTTTTACTTGAGGTAGGATCAAAATAAGCAGTGGAAGCCACTAATCACAACTCGAGAAAGACCTAAGCAAAAGGAGAACGTTCGCAACTCTCACTAGCGCCCAGATTCAGTCAGTCCCCTGCATTGCTGATATGAAGATACCGGTGATTGAAAATCGCAGAAGAAAGAAAAAGCAGAGGATCACTTTCGAGACTTCGAGAGTTTCCCTCTGTGGTCATGAAAATTGAACCGTAAGGAGAGCACATTCGTACAAGCACAGCCCTATTGGCGCATTACAAAAGAACTAGAAGCAAGTATACTTTACAAATCAACAGGATAGGCACGTTTACTCTAATCAAAACCTTTGAAAAAGTATTTCACTGCAACATGCTAGTGCCTTCGCTATTGAGAAAAGAACGTGGAATCTGTGAAACAAAGGCCCTCAAACCTGTTAAGGCTCGTAAAAACCCATTATCTCAGTTGTCGTGAGTTGCCTTCACCTAAAATAGAGCGTTCATAAAAAGAAAAACATCAATTTGGAGAGAAAAGCATAAAAATTTTAATTAGAAGCAGAAACGAAAGCGCACTAAAGGCATACGCTGCGGGCGCGTCGCGGAGGTACCTATGATAAGCTGGCCGGGGTCCACGCTATAATCATCATCCATTTCGTCCCACGCCTTTTTAAGAAAATAGTTTCTATCGCTCTCAGAAAATGTGCAGTGTGTTAAAGCAAGCTTTCAGTTATAACATACTTATTGTTAGAAAAAGATTTTTGTAAAACTCAAAATTGAAATTATAGAAATCGAAGCAGACATGTGCAGACCTCACGCTGGGGTTTTGAACGCAATTGCGGAAAGTCAAAACAGAAAAGGGTATAATGTGTTCTGGAACTAAGTTCATCGTTCAACCTGAACTAAAATCTTACCCAAAAGACATATGGAGAGAGCATTACTTTAGCTTCAGAGACTGCTTCACCTTTGAGGATTCCAAATCATTTTCAAAGACAGAGTGGCCGGGGCGCGCACTCAAAATTTCCAAGGTTTTTTGTCTATCTCGAATCAGATTCTTGAGTGCAGCTATTATAATGATAGTAGTATTCTCTACAACACGGACATGCAATTGTACCAGAGTGTTCCAAATGTGCACAATGGAAAAATAGACTTTTGCAGTTGCGGCTGCGGCTAATATTGTCATTGGCATTCCTTGTAGTACTTCTCAAAAATTTCGAAAGATTTTTTTTATTGTTGGGGCTTCGTCCAGCAATTCACCTAAAACCAAACGCTGTAAAAGTTTCCTAAGGGCATCTTTATCCAAAAAATGGCAGTACAAATTTGCTTTTACGATGTTCACCTTCGCCATGTTTTGAAATATCTTGTATAACTCTGTTGGTCTTTGTTAATTTGTTAACATCTTCTTTAGTCCACTTTCCGCTTAGAAAAAATGGTATACAATACCGCTCACATTTTTTGAAAAAAAGACGCGAATGTATGGGCATGTATGGACATGTGCGGACATGTCCATACATGTATGGACATGTCCGCACATGTCCATACATGTCCATTCATTCGCGTCTTTTTTTCAAAAAATGTGAGCGGTATTGTAAGTAAGAAATCTCACTAATGGTCTTCGTATTTTTAATCAAACGAAGTTTGCAGGAATATTGTTCTGCAAAAGTCAACGCTCAGTTTGCATTGAGATTTAAAAAAGCAATGATGTTTCTCTTGCCCTACATCCCGTCCCAGAAAAGAAGCAAGCAACCGTTCAGATTTTCATCTCTACATCTAGTTGCATTGCATTCAAGGTCTTATGGTCCATATCTCCAAAAAAACCATTCAGCATGGCCTTTCTGTCCACATGGCACTTTCCTTCTGCGGATAAATATCTATGTGGTTGCCCAAGTGCTCCGCTTAGTTTCTGCTTTATGACTGTCTTAAATTTTGTGCTTCAATCTCATAACAGTTTCAAATTCTTAGTTGGCCTCCTTGGTCAATAAAGTCCCAAAAGCATTCTACGAGTGCACAGAAAACGATCCTCTCAATGATGTGGCGGCAATCAGTGGCTGGATTGTGTTCGCGTTTTGTTTCTAATCAGTGCTGTTCTGACTTACATGCGGAAATCTGTTAACGCTATTTGAGAGTTCGTCGACATTTCTGCCTGATTCATGATTTTTCCCAAAAGTCACTCTAAATTGTTCCTCCTCAATCACGCTTCGCAACTCGAGAAAAGTTCCTCAAATTCAAACTGCAGTCCATCTCTTAGCTTATCCTTTATGGTACGTCCTATCCATATAATTTTCTTACTCATAAATGTTCTAGCTCTCTTCAGTTGATCCTTATATAATGAGCGGTGGCTTTTTTGATGGTCGACTAAAGCTTTGTAAAGCTACGGTATTGTTCCACGGTGACTTACAGGTAACTGAAAATCAACTTTGTGTCAGAATTTTGAGCTCTGGGTGAAAATTTGTTAGATGAAGCATCACTAGAACGAACGTCCCATATAAAATTCAGACAACATCACTGATTGATCTAGAGCGTCGCACAATAACTGTAACTGTAACTTTGTATTACTAGGCCAATAGCTTCAGTACTGATAATACAAGTGTGTCTACTCGCAGATCTCTGGGAATCGTTTAGTTGTATGAGTCACCAGGACATAATATGAAGCTGTTGCCATACAAATAAACAGAAATCTTAACCTAGAAAGCCATAGTTTTCTCTTATTGTTAGAAAAAAAACCAGCCAGTAGAAGGAGTAGAAGGAGCATCTCTTTACACAACTTGATTTCCTCGCTGAGACACTTTATCCGATTCCACTTTCAGTTTCAAGAGCAACTGTCTTACATAGACAAGCGTTACGATCATCTTCGGAAGCTTACGCAAACACTTAAGAGGAAGATAAATGATTTAGAGGTGAGCCTCACTATGGGAATACAAATTTGATAAATGCAACCTTATTAGGACATTATGCGACAACACAATGACGACGAAAATATGAAGCAAATCCAACAACTTATCGAAGACATAAGAAGGGAAAAGCAGATGATGCGCGATGAGGCTCACATTATTCGAGGAGAACTTTCTCAAGCTATCTACAATGCGGACTTGAGGTATGGTATTTTGAAGGCTGTGGGTTACAGCAGAGCATTTAACTGGCACATCTATCAGATTGAGTTCGTCTTCTTCAGAATAAGCATTACATCTCAGCCATACTGCAGAGCGCCGTTCCTTTCTATGTTACCCCCTCACAGTGGCATATCGAGAGCACCCCCCCCTCCCCTTCCCCCGAGAATGGGTCACGAAATTTTCGAAAGATACTTACATGAGTTATAAAATTGTGCAAGTGACTTGTTTGTATTTGTAATTGATTAGAACAATTTTTTAAATTTTTTTGGAAAATCAATTTATCGTACAAAAAATTTTTTTCTCGGGGGTGTGGCTGACGACACGCCCTCTTTTCCCAGAATTTGGGGGTTATGAGCCTGCGAAAGTTGTGAGAAGCATACCAGAAAAATTTTCTGGGTGCGCTGTCTTTTGTCCCCCACCCCCCTGTACGGAAATCCTGATTACGCCACTGCCTTGTAAGATAGATAGAGGGGAACAAAAAACAGAGAGACAGAAAGAACATTACCGCAACAAACTTTCATGATTTTTGTTTCTAAAGCTATAGAGATTGCAGAGTGCTTTAAGGTTTTGGCAGAATTTCGTTCTTTAGTTTTTCACCTTTTCGGAGCCTTCTTGCCGTAAGGGGCCCATATCTGGGCTTCGTAGCTTATGAAAATGGCGAAAATGAGCTTTTCTTGAAGCTTTCTAGGCCCGCAATTAGTCTTAAAGTACGTGTAAGTTGGCGGAGTCCGAAACGAGAGGCGGGATGCGGGAGACTTTTGGCGTATTTTCACTAAATGCGGACCTGGAAAACTTCAAAAGGCTCTTCTTCCCGTTTTCATGCGCTGAAAAGCTCAGACATTCATCAATTTCCCACTCGCTGTTCATTATTAAGGAGTGCCCGGACAGGCGAGAGCGCCAATCCCGAGCTTTATCAAAATTTAGAACGTGGTCCGATCTGGCAATTTTGGCCATGTCGGGCATAGTAGACGGGCAGCGGAGCCCGACTGATCGAGATCGGGCCCTGCTGCCCGACTGCCGTGCCCGACATGGCCATACTTGCCAGATCGGACCATACTCGCCAATAGACAGGAGTCCGATCATCAGCTTGTCTTCATATATCGCGGGCGCCAGTGCCCGCACCTGTGCGGGTTATTACCTGTACACTCAGATAATCGCCGGGGGCAGGCGGTCCGCAAACTCGCGCTTTTCTGCAAGCGGTCAGCAGAATTTAAGGGCGTAGCCAAACCTTCAGCGGGCGGCACTTCCTTTACTGTCTAATATTCTGCCAGCGGGCTGCAACACAAAATTTTCTGCAGGCGCTCGTCAAATAATCTCTTTCAGCGAGCGCTGGTCAAAATTTCAGCTGGCGCTTAAACGCTGTTTAAGCAGTTTCGGGCGTACGCCGAGCAAAGGTGAGACTCTACATGGCAGAGGTGTCATCGATGGTTTAATTACTCAAGTTTGAGGTACTTTCTCTCAGCGGAAAGTACCTGGGGGCTGCGCGGTCCTCCATAAAGGACCGTGCGGCCCTCGGAAATTTGAGTCCGCGAGAATGCGGCCACTGCGCCGCAGCTAATCTATGAGTAAACCGCGATTGTTCTCCAAGCATTCGTCTAAAATTTCGCTAAAATTCTTCCAGATATATGCAAGCTGACCGCAAGAAATCTACGAACTATTTTTCCGGTGCCCGCCCGCCCTTAGTTCGCATGGCCGCCTGCCCCCGGCGATTATCTGAGCAGGAACCCCTTCCTATATAGGTGATGAATACTGCCCAGATATTGGTTCCTCATGGCGAGAAAAGTCCGAATATGTGAAAAACTAAACAGCGAATTTCTGCCGAGATGCTGCCTTCAATGGCAGCCGCTTGGCAGATACTCGACTGGAGTTTTTTTGCTTACCTGATGTAATTTAAGGCGCTGCGCGAAGCAAAAAGCACCATTTCCCAAGGCCTTTCATTTTGAATTTGGACGAGTGGAGCACTCCCGCCTTGGTTAGAGATGCAGAATCGTTGCGGAACCCTCTCAGTCATAACATTGCGGCATGCATTCTCTAATGGGTCAGCGAGAATTGCAATCGTCCGCACGTATTAGAATGGCTTGCGCGTAATGTGTTTAAGGGTACTTTTCTAAGCAAGGGTAGCACGCTGTGCAATCAGACCTGCTCTGTTCTCATGCTTGGGGTGCAAGCAACCTTCCATGTCAAGATTTCGGGATGTTCGGTTTTGACAAGCTGTTGCCGTCAAAGGCAGTGTCCGGGCAAAAGCTCGATTTTGAGACTTTGTGCTTAGCCAGGCCTATTCGCCATGCTGAATCTGAAAAATTACACTGGAAAGCGCGAAAACGGCGAAAGACGGCTTTGACACAAGAGGGAAATCACCAGGTGGGCAAGGTTCTCCCCACTGTGAATTCGCGCTCCCAGCTTCAAGAGCGATCTTCTCGCTTCCGGTTTCAAGTCAATCATTCGCACTTGGCCGATGGCGATGTTAGGACGGCTAGCGGAATCGAAAAGATCGCTCTGGAAGCTGGGAGCGTGAATTCACAGTGGGGAAGACCCCGCCCACTTGCTGTTTCTTTCTTGAGCTAGAGCCCTTTTTTGCCGTTTTCGCGCTTTCCAGTGTGGATTTTCGGATTCAAAAGGCGAATACGCCCGTACAATCACAAAATCTCAAAATCGACGCTGCTTCAAGCGAAAGAGGGGTGTCGCCCTTATCTCATTTCATGAGGTTTGAAAGCACATCGCATTTATGTTACTGTACTGCGAAACAAAGGTCACACAATCCATTGTGCCATTCTTGTCGAAACTTTCCTAGCTCTTCATGCAACATAATGGGCTAGACGATAGCGGTTTTTTGCGGAAAAAGAATGAAAGGAGAAAATGGTTTAGCCAGACTTATGTGCTTCCTGTCAGAGGGGGTTTTATTCCACAACAGTATGCAGTCCTGCAGTATTTGTCTTGACGTCGGCAAATTTCTCCTTTCTCCAAACTTGCCAAAACACATCGTAGTGCGTATCAAGCACTACGACGGTTCCGTGACTTTTACTGTCTGCATTTCGTGCGAAAACAGCTATTACTCTTGGCTTTTTTTTCTAAGTGTTTTGTATCTCAGTCAATCTAGCATTGATCATACGAGTGACCGCTATCAATCGTACACCTTTCTGCAATCAAAGGCCTCGAGCTGGGCCAGTGTATCTTGGCTTGTGCATTGATCGTCTTAGCGACTTATTGTTAGTAACGATTTCATGTTCTTTTGACTAGAACAAAATTCAATTTATCAATTGTAACATGATTTTGTCTCTTCATTATTTTCTTAACCTGTCTATCCTATTTTAGATCGCATCTACTGAACTTCGTTGAAGAGTTTGAAGAAGTATGGCACGACAGCCCAAAGTACGTTGAGTTTCCCATTCTTCCATTTTTCCAGTTTTTTTGCGCAAGCATGAAAGTGGAGCTTCGGTAAACTTCGGTAACTAACAGAAACAGAACGGACTTTGCAGTCGTTGCACCTCTTGTAACAGTATCACTATCGCTTCGGAAAGGGCATTTGTGACCGTTCAGCACTTAAGACAAGCTCTGAGTTGTGCAAATGGATTACTAACTTTGAAAAAATTCAAGAAAGTGATTACTAATGTTTTAGCATTCATAATTATCATTTCAGCTTTACCACCTATGGGCTAAGTCCTTTTTTACCACTTCAGGCCTTCATGTTATCGCAAATGCCACAGACGGTTTTGGAGTTATATCTAATGCACTGAAACTGTGATACATTCAAGCTATTTCTACAGACATAAAAGTGAAAAGTGGAGCTGCCGTTTTTTAAACGGGAGCTTGTCTAATTACATAGTTGTCATTTTGACTAGCTACCTGCAGATAACGACGCTTGATAAGACCACTTTCTTTTCATATATGGCACTTTTTCCAGCCATTTTGATACCTCTACTTTGGTGACTTTGGTGACCTACATCTCTTCTGGGTGGATATTAAGAAATCAGAAATAAGGAAAGGCTTCACGTCCGAAGCGATCGCGAAGTTGCCGTGTATCTGTGATAGATAGTCCAAAAAAAGTAGATCTTATAATAGCTCCTATCAGACTTTCATTATCGCTCCTCAATCCTTCCTGCATCTAAACGTCACCTATGCCTCAACTGACAAACGACAAATCATCTGTGGTGATCTCATGTTGGCAGAGACATGAGCGCTTTGAGCCTCGGGTCTTAGACTTCAGCTTCTTAATGCTTAGAAACTGTGTGATGGCACTCAAGCCTGAACAAAGCTACGGTCTCCCTAAAGTCACCACAGTGCTTCTGCATGAGATACCGTGCGAAAGAGAGAATGTGAAGCACACTTTCAAGGGCGATGATAGCCAAAAACATATTCGCCGAAGTTCTTGATAAAGCAGGAAGCGCGCGTTTACGAAAGTGAACAACATATACTCTACATGGAAAGTCATTAATCCTAAATCACTTTGTTGCCTTGCCCAAAGTAGAGGAAGAGGCGAACTGTAGAAAACATATTGAGCACTGGGAGGAATCATCTCGTTTGTCCCCATGAAAAAAAGTAAGATCACATATTTTCTTGCTTATACCTGCGCAACTAACTTCCATTCTAAATGTAAATGTTCATATAGTGTCTGTGCCTGGAAAATTCGCCCGTCCTCATGTTTCATCTGAAATCATGTTGCGACAGCGGAACATGTCCCGACGCGAACAGTACTCTCTGTTAGAGACAAGACGAGCACTGTAGCAAAAAGCGCAGCAGCTGTTCTGTACAGAAACAGAAATTGACTTGGGTATTTCTTTAATTCGCTCATGCCAGAGAAGACAGCCTGATTGGTTGAAAAGGTGATACTTCGGTCACTACTGCATATTTGTATAAATGCCTTGGTATTGCTGGAAAAATGTCTCCGCAAAAATAGCGAATAAGAGTCTTTTCAATACTCCGCGTTGATAACAACAGAAGTTCAGTCAAAGTAAAGTCTTTTAATAAGTCAATGCCTGCTTCACCTTTTGAATTGCAGTTGGTTTCTTCCATTTATGTGTGTTTGTTTTATCAAGCAAAATGTTTCTTTTATGAAACTTTTAACGCATCTGTACATTTACGTACCTCCATTGATTTCCCTGCCACTGAATTACCATACCTACTAGCCGGGTCAAGTAAAACAATCTTTCCCTATCAGAGCCAAATATTACATGAGAATTTATTTAAGGGACATACCTTGTTTGCAAAATTGTTTGCAAGTTGAACGACGTTCAAACCCCATCTAGTATGGCAAATTATATGAGAAAGCAACGCATGTAACATCATTATGAAACGAAATTTGGCAAGGATGAAGATGCTCAAAGCATCATAGTTTTTGAAAAGGTTGAAGAAACAAAAGAACGAACTAGGCTTTTCGTGCATCACACGCCAGCACTCCTCCATCGCATCATCCGGTTTCGGGAATGTAGTGCAATTTTATGGGAGGGGTAGATTCAACGGTCTGGTTTCATGCCAAAGATGGTATAGCTACGAGACAAATTATTCGCTGATCTTATCTGAGGCCCATTGGCGTACCGAGGGGAGGGGCGGGGGCGCCCCCCCCCCCCCGAGAATAGGTCGCAAAATTTTTGAAAGTTACTTACATGAGTTATAAATATGTGCAAAAGACTTATTTATACTTGTAAGTAATTAAAATAATTTTTTAAATTTTTTAAAAATTCAATTTAGCCTTATAAAAAAAATTTTTCGGAGGCGTGGCTGACGCCACGCCCCCTTTTTCCGAAATTTCGGAGTCCTGAGCCCCCGAAAATTTCAGGAAGCATACCAAAAAAATTTTCGGAGTGCGGCTGAAGCCACGCACCTTCATCGAAAAAAATTATTGTCGCGCTTCCCCCGAGCCGAAATCCAGGGTACGCCACTGCTGAGGCCGTATTCATCATTGATACCTTGAGGTAAATTCTACTACCAGGTAGTTCCAGCATTCATTTTCAAATAGTTTTATTACTGATAATGGGTGATAAAACTGCCCTCAAAGGATTAATGATGAGTACGGCCTCTGCTGTATGGTTTCGCGCCAACGTCATGATTTTTCAAATAACCCATACAACGATGCGGCAGAAGTAATTACTCATAATATTTTGTAGAAATGATTAGCAAGGTCACTGTCATTTCACAAGTATCGGCACTCGTCATTCCTTGTTCTATTGCAACGGGGATGAAGTGATTTGAGTACATAATAATAGCTCATCCTACCTTCAGAAAGCGTTTAACCGGACAGCTTTGTCGCGATGACGAGGAAAATGATCAACGGCAAAGTACAAGCCAAGGAGGAGATGACATCTACACCCCTTCATCGAGCGACGATCAGGAATTTTGAGAAACGAGCTTTTGATGCTCTGCATTTAATAATTTTGTTCTTACGAGTTATGTACATAAACCGAGGTCATATTCGCTCAATACCTCTTACAAGCATTGTATATGTAGAGTTGTATATATATCCCAGTATGAGAACCGGTTGTGGATTTGCGTAAATTTGGCTTCAACTTAGCATATGTTCCATTTAAGCCCGATAGTTACCTTTTTTCATTGAAAAAGGAGCCCCATTACCATCTGTTTTATATAAAACAGCTCTAAGTGCAAATTTTTTACCTGGTCTATACTTTTCATGCATCAATTGCAATGTCAAATCTTGGGTGTAATTCAGTGCCCTTGATCTGTCAACTTTGCGAAGTAATTTAAACTAAGCTTTAGTGCTCAAATTGTGTACAAACTTGCTGCTTAGTCTGAACTCATTTAGTAAGATTATACCAAAATTTTTTAGCTGTAATCAAATTCCATGCGGTTTATGATACATACTGCAGCACAATTATAGCACTATATTTGTTTTGTGCAAACATGGCCTGGCAAAACCTTCTTTGGAATCTTGAGTGAAAAATTTCAAATTCTGCTATCCTGACCATCTAGAGCACCATTACGAAACCCCTAATGTAAGTTGTTCTATTGTAGTTGTGATATCGCTGTGAATAGCGCTAGGGTTATTAATGTTCCTCAATCATGATGGGACACTTCGAGAAAGGCAGTAACGTGAATATCTTTAACACGTTGACGACAGTGTCGCGCAATGGTGCGCGACAGGCAGTCTGTCCCTGTGGACGATGTCGCGCAATGGTGCGCGACACCCTAAATTCCAGTTCGAATGTGCCCAATGGTTCCAATTTGTGTTCACATAATCAGTCTAGGCTCGGAGGTTTTTCATGTTGGCCCCGCCCCTTTTTTGGCAAACTCCGCCCACTCCATTGCCCTGTACAAAAAACTTTTTTCGTTCTGAAATCGCATAGAAAAGCTCGTAGATGACCGGGGAACCTCAAATAATCTTGATTTTGACCCCGCCCCCCACTATGCAGGCCCCACCCCCTAAATGGCAAGCTCCGCCCACTTTTCAAAAATGCCGGAAATTGCACGAATTCATTGATTTTGAGCAATTTCCAGCAATTTTGAAAAGTGGGCGGGGCTTGCCAAAAGTGGGCGGAGCTTCCCCGCCCACTTGCATTTTTGTACCTTACGCATAGATGCATACACACATATATGCAGCCGGCTGCGAATATGCCTGGAAACGGTTCGTCCACAGGGACAGACGTCAAAAAAACAGCTCGTCGTCAACGTGTTAAAGAAGCGAAGACGAACATTGAGATAAAATTGTAATAGCAAAAAATATCGCATCTACTATTTTGCAAGAAGAGAGAAGTTTTAGTGTGTTTACAAAAAAGAGACCGTTTTCAGAGACTGTCTTTTGGTAGAAAGAAAATGCACAGCAAGATTGCCAATGTATTGCATGACCGTCGGACCTAAATATACAGGTGTTCCAAAAATAAGTATACAGTCTTTAATCGTTTGTAATTCTCTCACTCAGTAGAAGGCTTCAACTTGGATGAATAGTGCGTAGAGAACCATCAATCGATCTTCGTTACCTTAGGATTACGGTACGATTTTCGAAAAGGGTTTTGGCAATTGAAGGCTCCAGCTGCAAGTAGACCAGACAACCTGAAAATTTTTACACTAAGCTAATCAGAGCCGCTGACACTAAATATGTGCACCTTACGGCCATACTTTCTTCATAATTTATGCCGAGTAAACCGCAATAGTTGCTTTTATTTGGTTGTTTTAATTTTTTCTTCAGTTTTAGCTACTGCCACCTTCGAATACTTCTCAATCATGGCTCAGCACAGGTGACTTGCTGGGCAAGCTGGATATCGCTTTGGGCTAAAAGGCAAGGGGGATAGTTTGAGCGGAAACCCCCAGTCTTCCCCCCCCCCTCCCTCACAATCTCCCTTTTATGTCACCTTTCATCTTCTATAGAGGACGCAAATTGTCATTCCTCCCTTATCGATCCCATTTCTGCACAAAACAAAAATTTCCTGTTCCAAAGTTCGTCAGTTAAGCGCGCGAATTCAAAAAGCCTGCCCGAAATGAACAAAAGCCTTGTTTACAGCTAAGAAAATATGAAATGACACCAAAATTGGTGTATAAATGGGCAATAGGGATTTGGGTATGTGCGAAAAATTATGGAAAAATTATGTAAACCATGCGTGGCAAACTTTTTTCGGAGGTTAGGTGGCTTTCCACTTACCTGGACAGCCACCTGAGGTGGCTGTAAAAAGAAAAAGTCATATATTTTTCTTCCCTTGCATAATTTTTTTCACATGTTCAACATATATTTGTTCTATGTCAACCCTAGAACTGAGTTTCTAAATCTCCTCGAAGCCTCTCCTCCTCACCTAGTTACAGCCCTCCACATATTTTGTATGGCGGCGGCAAACCTGATCCAAGTGCGCAATGGTGAACGAAGATCACAGCATGCCGCCAATTCGGAGAATACAAAGTTCTTTAATTTCTTTCCTCTGTTCGATGCTTTTCAAGCTTGTTTTATTGATTTTTGTTATTGCTATTTCATCCATTCATGATCGCGTCATAGGTGATGTAGTGTTTTTGTAGCAAACTTGCGGAGGCTTCGTTTCTGTAAAATTAAAAAGCCACCTCATGCGGAGTTCTGTTCTCAATTCTAATCAGGATGCAGGTAGGATAGAACAAAGCAACTCTAAAGATAGCGTGTAATGTTTGCACCAGCTTCAGCATGTCACGATTTCGAATCAAAATCTGAGAAGTTTTCGATCCCCGAAAAATCGAAAATCTTTTACATCTTTGTCCAGAACTTACTACATCCCAGGCACGCTCACGCGTATAATTCCAAATAAGGACGTTTAAATAGGCTAGGCAGTTAGTGTATCTGCTTCTGGGCTACGAACCGAAAACTAAAATTTTCAAGCTTTTGAAAAGCGTTAAGTTTTCGACACTCTTATAATATCAATTCCGAAAGTAATTTCGCTTTTTTCAAACGGGCGCCACATTTGAAAGAACAAAGGTTTTTGAGAGATCTTGATAGCGTTCGACACACGTAAAACAGGAAATTTCTCTCTAACAAAAAAATAGCATTTAAACAAGATGTCGGAGATCAAACATTTATTACTTTAGTTTGTTCAAATATGGGCTGCTATGCCATTAGCCATAACTGCAAACCGTCCTTTTCCTGAAAATAAAAGGAAAAGAGAGGTACACGGTCAAAGAACAGCAGCAAAAATATGTGATCAAATTGCTGAAATCGAAAAGATCTTTAAGATTTTGATTTTGATTTTTCTAATTTTTAGCACAGATTAGAGATAGGGCGCAAATGAGATGCCTCATCAGAATAAAGAAAAAATAACATAAGAACGAGAAAACCAAACCAAATGTAATCTGGTTCATTTCTTAGTCGAAATAAACTCTTTTTGAATAACAGAGCATGCAGCAACAGGAAAATTCGGGAAGAAGCACACATTTGAGCGCCCGTCAAATGTTGATATTGGATGCACGTGACGTGCGTTACAGAAAACTGTGGGCATGTGCGACCTACTGCGAGGTTGGCGTAGACGAGCTCTGATCTTGCACCATAGTTTTGCGTCTCCACGTCGGACACTCTCTCGCATTCATCGCGGCTCGTCGCAGTGCGCTGTCGTCACAGACAGCGACAAAGTGCGACTACTCTAGCAATTCCCATTGATTTCACCCTCCAGCAGTGATTAAAGATATCCGCCGTGCTTGCCTCTGTTCAGCATAGTGCCACATCTCGCAGCAAGCTCTGAGCCGTACGTCACGACACCCAGAGGTTTTAACACTGGCCAAGTTACTGACAGTCCAAATAATGCCCAGATCCAAAACGTTTGAAAATTGTTCGATTGTCGCTCTCTTGTTCACACCTCTTTTTTCCTCTGACTTTCTACAAACAAGCTTCACTTTTCATGGGAGCAGGATTGCAAACAAATTTCTTTTTTTAAAAAACCAACTCTATTCTGTCAAAGGTAACTCACAGGTGGGAACGAGTATAAACTACTGCACTCATATAGCTCAAATTTGGTGTACAGTCTTAATTCATATCAAGCCAAGATTGGCATGCTACGCTTTTGTTTTGCATCACTCTGCTTTCCTAGAGGATGCGCAGAAAAAAGGCGTTTGTTCTCTATCTTTTCTATTTGAACTTTCTGGCAGTGCTTTTGGTGCTGAAATGCAGGGTAAACTTAGTTTCATCCTACAATCGGGACGGATGGTACAGGTCAGCCAGTCGGTCTTCTAACCTTGAACTCAAAAACAGAAGGACAAAATACAGCCTTGCCAGCGAAAGCGCTCAAAACTGAGCACTACAGTGCAGCTAGCAATAAGCTAGAAGAGAACTCCCCAGAGGGAAAATTGTTAGCGCCCGAGAGTAATCATGGACGCAGTCGTATCACTAGCAATTGTAATGATGGATGGGCATAAGTCCATCGCTTACAATAAAGAACAATTATTGAGCGACCCGTAAAATAAAGATGACGTAAAAGGCAGCGGCTCGGCAGAACGACAAATTTGAGATATTCATCGTTCTCGGTTCCCGTGGATGAGCTAAGTCCAGACTGTGCTTTGCAGCTTCAAAAGATATCAATAACCCGCTTTTCCAAAAACGAAAAGTGCCATTTGGGAGGACGGCGTATGCCTGCCCTCTAGAGCGCGATTGGATCGTGGGTACGGTGAGTACGGTGTCTCCGTTTACGAGCCAATAGCGCTCTAGAGGTAGAGGAACATACGCCGTCCGCCCAAATAGCATTTTTCACGTCTGGAAAAGCGGGTTATTAATATCATTTGAAGCTGCAAAGACAGTCTTGGACTCAGCTCATCTAGGAAAAGCGAAAACGATAAATATCTTAAAGCTGTCATTCTGGCGAGCCGCTGACTTCAAAGATGACATGATATTGACAAGGAAGTCGATTATTAGGCTGTCAGAAATAATGACTTTTTGCTTTTATGGCGAAATTGATACAACACAAGAACTGCTACAGAGGTGCAAATTTACAGTTGTATTTTTGAAGGTTTCATAGTATGTAACTACCTAGAGCGACCCAATATTGTTAGAAGGAGAATTTCTCACTCTCCAATGGAATCTTTTCAATTTTCAGCCAAGTACTCTACTTCCCCGCACATTAGCGCACCATGTGTAAGGTGCACCCCCACAGCAATAGTGCAAAAGCTCCTTCTAACAATAAGATAGTGTTTTATGAATCTTGCGAGATAAAAAGCCCAAAGTAAGTGACTGTTTATGCAGATAAAACACGTTCGAGTCTGGTGTTTTCGTGCTTTCTTTCATTTCCGATGGTGTTATTGAATTAAAAGCTTTGCTTCTCTTCAACCATATCGTTATGGTTGAAGAGAAGCAATTTTTAGTAATAGCTAATTTTTAGTAATAATTCCACGGTGTTTTTTGTTTTGTAGATTGTTGAAGAACAAAAGCGAAGGTAAATATAGTTCTTGACAAATCACACTTGATAGGAAAGACAATAAAGAATGAAAGCGGACTGAATGGGAGGCGTGTATGATGTGAGTCTGAAATGGGCATTTGGGGTACACAGATCCTAGAGTTTTAGCTTTGGAGAGAACGCGATCGGATTTTGATTGTCATCTTATAGCGCTTTTTCGCTCTGTCAAGTGTTTCACACCATCCTTGAGTGTTCTCTCAAGGTAGCATCAAAAACACCATTATTTTCGTGGAACCTGATACATGCTCAGTTTGAGCAGTCTGAGCCAGTTTGTTAGAATACAGTTTTGGATGTAGAGGAATGCTTGTATACTGTTGGACTTGAAACCATAAAATGTAGAATCAGGCTATTTATTGCACCAATTTCCGGAAGCATCTAACCAGTAATGCAAATGATCAAGTTATAGGAAAACGCATGGAAATCGGAAGGCAGAACTTTCCCTCTTGAAACAAACAAATCATGTTTATCTCAACGCAGAAACTGCAATCAGAATGTATTTCCGCTAAAACCCAAGCAGACTCAAATTGATCAAGCAGAACGTTGTTGCTTTGTTTTCATTCATGCGACAGTGAATTCTCGGTATCATTATAATCTTAACAGCAGATGTTTACTGAACAGCCGTATAGCAGCTGTACAAACTCTTTATCTTTTTTATCCGTGTCAAAGAGTTCAATCACATACTTGATTTTTCATGAGATTTGTTTTGATTATTTTGCACAGGTTGAGAAAACAAAAGTGACAGTTATCTTCGATCTATACAATATTTATAATGTGAGGAGCGTTTGTAGGCATTCATCAAGCTTTGCAACTATCTAACTATTTTACTGGGTTTAGATGAACGGTTTTTCAAATTCTATATTAGATTTACATCTAAGTCGTGCAGTATAAGATTTATGCATAACATTGATTCAAGTATATTGATAAGATCTTCTCTGCCTTATTTAAAAGTCGTGCATTGAGAGATACAAGTCTTGGAAAGTTTGGTGCAAACACTGCGCATCCTAATACATTTTTTTGATAGCTAGAGCTTATCTACCATAAATATGAAACGTCACTTCATTTATGTACCGTAGTTACTCACCGTATGTCTTTGGCGATTGTTAGGAGACGTGCACCAATTGAGGAAGGCGGTCCCGGCATCATCCTTCTCTTGGTCTGCCACTGGAATTGTTTCTGTAAATTAATTTAAAATTTGGAAAATTTTGATGAAAGCTATTGTTGCGAAGTGCTCCAAGTTTACGAGTACAAGGCGCAGGGTTTTCTTTTCTAAAATCGGCCACCACAAACACGTCGAAGGATTCGCGAACCAAAGGCCTACACAGTGGTGCGTATTGCCAAAGAGAACCGTACGGCACAAAAGCTGCTTTCCGAAGCGCAGAGAAGCAGCGAAGCAAATTGAAAAGTGCGTCCTGTACTAGTGAAAGTAGGATAGATGCCAACTAGAGTCCAAAGTGTTTCCACTGTGGTAGCAGCAGGTCCCAGAGTATAAAGCAATGCAAATATAGGCTTTTACACTCATACTTCACTTTGTGACGTTCACTTCGCTTTTGGAGAAAGAGATTAGACAAATCTAGCGAGAAGACCTCATCTTTTTTGCGCGTGTGTGCAAGGATTTACTTTGAATGTCATTTGCTAGTAACAATCGTTTCGCCAACTGAGATACCAGATGGAAGATTTACGCTTATTTATGCTAATTTCCTACGTAAAGCTCAATTGTTACTAGCCTATGCCAAGCTTCCCTTTCGAGCTTATTTTATTTTAGCTTAGCGTACTTTTGCATTTACATATGAATTTGGTAACTATCAGGTTTATTTTTCAAAAAACCCGAAATGAGCAAGCAGAAATCAGTTTCCAGTTCAGCAAAGCGTGTGAGACTGTACGGCTCATAATCAATTAGTATCTCGGAGAGGGCCCTCTCTTTCCTCAAATAAGGAGTAGCGATGTTTGCGCCCACGAAATTTTGCAAGTTTCTGTTATTGCGCTTCATTGTACAGTTGTTTTGCATTACCTCATTATCATTTCATCAGTCGCATTTGCCCATGCTGTTTGATGCAATCGGCAGCCTATGTTCAAAATTTCGCTTCTTTATGATTGATTCAAGAATTGCCCCGCTGTTCTTTCAAAATATCGCCTTCTTGTTTTCAGATGTCCAGTAGTTCATCCACCCATTCATCTCACCTCGAAAATATAGCAAACGCAGGAATTATTGCAACGGTAATTTGGCCTACTACTGATACAAATTGATTAAGAATAAACCAAAATAGATTCACTTAACTGAATTATTGTGATCGTTCAACAATGTGGTTGCCGTTAATCATAAACTTTATGTGGAAAAGTCACTGAATTGTAATGAGGTTTTGTCAGAAGATAAAAATCAATGACGTATTTCAGCTGAGCGTTTTCGGGCTGTTCTCCAATACTGCTGCAATAGTTGCGGTCCTTTATAGCCCCATACTGCGGAACGCATTTGGTAGACTTTGTCTGTCGCATAGTTTTTGCAACTTGGGTGTACTTCTGATCTCTACTTTTTGGCTGGCTCCTAACACATTCAGGTAGGTCCTAGTAAACCAATTATTGACGTAACATGAAATATGAATTAAACAGGGAGAGGAAATTATCCATCGAAGTTGTGGACAAGATTATGGGTCTAATTAACACTTTGTTGTGGTATGTATGTATTTATTCTCACTTTGCAATCTCGTTGAATCGTGTAGTTGCTCTTATTATGCCACTGCAAGCCGAGCTTCTTAATCGTAAAAAATCCATCTGGTTGGTTCTTGTCGTCTGGCTAATCGGTTTCTGTCACATTACGCCGTTCTTCTGGGGTTAGTGTATTCATCAGTGTTGATCGAGGACATTTGGCTGAATATTTCAGGTGAAACGTGCTACATCCACTACGAAACATCAGTGTGGATGTGGTTGTTCGCTGATACCACATGCGGAAACTTTTTATCCACGTACATTGATAGCTATACTGGCTTTGTCTTGTTGAGCGCTACTATAGTACTCGATATCATCAGTGTTATAAAACTCAAGGGTATTCAGGTACAGTCGAGTAGATTTAGCGGTAAATATAGTGTGCTTGCACAGTAGGTGAAATGCGGTAAAATTGGCGCGTGAAGAAATAGTTTCGACTGTGACGCCGGCCAATTGCGCGCGCAAGATACCCGCGGTACTGGCGTGGCTGCTTGTTCACGCGCAAATTTCACCGCATTTCACCTCCTGTGCAAGCACACTATATTTACCGCTAAATCTACTCGACTGTAAGTGATAGTTGATAGTTGGGTAATTATGAAGTGCACTTACAACGGACCGCAGAGGATTTGCCACACCTAAAAACTTTGATCTATGATTGGAAGTAGTAGCCCACCAAAAATCAGTGATCCAACAAAGCCACCGCTCCGTTCGGAGTTATCCTAACATACTTTTAATCTTGTTGTTTCGAATGGTTTAGCTTCCACCGAAATTGTTGAAAGGTAACAGTCTCGGTGGAGGCCAAAGGGCCGTGCATACATCATGCGTTTTTATTCCAACAAGATAACTGTTACGTGTCCATTGCTTGCCAGTCATATTGCATTTCAGTTGTGATAGCCAAAACGACTGATCGCGACTGACCATCACAGCCGAAATGCAAAATGACCAACAAGCAATGAACTCGTAACAGTTGTCTTTTTGAGAGAATCGCGAGGCGAAAAATTTGCATGATGTTTGCCCGGCTCTTAAAGGCAGCGTTCAGACAAATCTGGACATATGGGGATCTCACGTGGACAGCGAATTTGCGACCCTAACTGCTACGCTGCCCCAATCGGCAGTTCAGATGGTGTTCTAACGGCTGAGATATTCGCCTCGCTAGACCCCAGGACCGTCGCATAGGTTGGGTTCATCGCGCGACACATCATTTTCGCACAGGTCCTCGTTCGAAAGCATGCAAACACGATGCAAGGTCCGATAATACGATCCTGGGGTTTATTATGGAGGCGTATATCTCAGCCAGTGAGTCATTTGCGCTACCGCTTGGCCCGTACCTTAGTTGGGGCTCCAAAATTGCTTACGTAAAATCCCCAGGGTCCAGATTTGTCTGGACGCTGCTTTTAAGCCATACAAAACAGCGAAATCATAATGCCAATGTAATGATGAAAGTGTGACTAAAAATGGGTTTGACAGAACAACTGTCATCATTGCGCCTAAGGGGCTAATTTTGCCCCCCCATCATAATTCTTTTATCTATTCTCACTTGAGAAGGCGGAAGGGAAGGACGTGAGGGGAAGGAAAGGAAAAGAAAGCCCCATCTTTATATAATTGCCATATCTCTCAATTGTTAGGAAGGGTGTAGTTTTTAGAAAAGGCCAGTAACAACGACAAATTCTATGCAGAGGAAAAGACATGAAGTAGAAAGGAGATTCTTAAAGCAGGTGAGTTTTAGGCCATTATGCATGCACATCCCCGCGGGAAAGGGAGGGGATCTGACAATGAGAAGCGCTTCATTTCTCGCTGCTCTAGATATCTTTCTTCTTCTTCTCTATCTACGTTATAAAAATTCTCATATCATTATCTGTGCATAATGGTGTTGCCAGGGTACTGCCGTACAATATCAGATTTTCACTATTTTGTGATAAATCACCTCTCAGTTTCAAAGTCATTTATCTTTCTATAATCTCAATGAAACGTTGTAAAATTATGCTGAGGAATTGTGGCACTGCTAAAAATGTTCATAGCAGAAATAAGTGAAATTTCAGGATACCGACTTCTTTGACCACTGCTCGCGAGCTGGATTATCGAAAATTCAAAGTTTTCAGATTTTATTGTTTTTGTCGAAAAGTGCTCAACAGTGCCGTAATACATCCTTAGTACAAATTTGTAGGATCTTCATTGAGTTCTATGACTTTGGAAAAGAGAGATGATCGGGGTATCCGCAGTCGATCACACAATATAGTGAAAATCTGTTCTTGTATGGCAGAACTGGCATTTATTATGCGCAGGTATCGAGGTATGAGAACATTTATGGCTTACATAGGGAAGAAGAAGAAAGATTATTGGAGTCGAGATACGGCGAGTCCCTCCTCAGATTCCTTCCGCTCCCCGCAGGGATGTACGTGCATACAGGTTCTAGTCTTATGATTTGAAATTTTACAGACACTTTGCCAAAACTTATTGTTTCTTTATGCCATCTTGAGTTACTACTACGTCTCAACAAGGCTCACCAACCACTGGGCATTATTTTGTTCTACCACGCTTCCGGGGTTGCTTTTACATGCTTTTGATGGGTGAGAGAATTTATGAAGTCACTGACACACATTGCGAGAAAATCTCTTTTCTATTGCCTTCAAACTGTCGGGAATGTCATTTAATCCTCTGAATGTGAATTACTGCGCTGTAATGTTCCAGTCATTAAAACTCGGCGAGAATTAAATTACTCATCATGTTGCAAACTTCCTATAATGTGACTCTTGAAATATGAATGTTTTCAGGTTCATCATAGCTGTATTTCATTTTCATTTATCTTATCTGAAGTCAACCTTCGATCTTGCACAGAAGGCAATAAAAGTTATCGCTACAAAACCATGATTATCAACTTCTCATCGCAGAAGAATAATACTCACTATTTCAATTGGTGAGCATGATTTGCCCATTTGCCCCTAAGTGGATAAAAAATCCACTAATTGGCTTAAACTTATCTTTCAACTTCTTTTCGTTCAGTAAATTCGGGTTTTTGAAAATCAATAAAAATTGAATCTTTGTCTTGTGTGTTCACAGTCCAAATCTAATGCTTGCTTGAAAATGTTGCGAGAAACTGAATTGGAGTCAGCAAAAGGTGCTGTTACTTTACATATACAGCACTTCTGATTTCTTGCTGAGTGACTGCAAATCTTACAATGCGTTCAAGGAGGTCAGCGCCGCGTAGTGCAATCACACATCTACGCGCGAGCGTTACCGTAGGCGCAGCGTGCAGGGACCATTCTGCGCGCAACATCGCGGGCCTTGTTTTTACCAATGTATCATGCAATTTTTCCTTTTTTGTAGCGGCGTGTTGACATTTTCCTTGTTTTTGTGCTCATATATGATTTGTCTTGATATCGGATATGATTCTTTTCGCAGCTAAGGTAGGAGGTATCTAATCTTTGAGCGTTTTCTCTCATGACATCCTTCATTTCATCCAGGCCTTCTTAGGCTGATCTCGGATGTCATGATTCATTATATCGACTCCGTTTCAGCGGGTATAATCTTATATCGTTTAGGTTTGAGTGAACCTCGCGTTGGCGCTGTTCACTCAAACTGTTCTCTCAATCTATACGACATACGATTACAGCTCACATATCAACCTTTAGCTGTAAAGAGGAAGAGACCAGCCGTTCTTTGAATTCTCAAATAAAATGGTTCAAATCACATCTTCACACCTCAAACCTCCATTTTGTCTCCTAATTCGCGCAGTGATACTTTGATGTTAGGAAGAGTATCGAAGTAAGGTTTTAGGCAGGAAAAGCTCAGAAATTTGAAATCAGGACAGCGAAAAAGCTAAGAAAGAAGAAGAAAGAGTAGCTAATTCAAGGACCACGTAGCTCTGCGCGGCGTGGTCCCTGCACTCTGCAGCCGACGATAGCGCTCGCGCGCAGTTGTGTAACTGCACTACGCGGCGCTGGCTCTGTCAAACGCATTGTACAAGGAGAGTGGCCAATTCGAAGTGAGTGACTTCCGCAAAATGCAATTCATCACGAAAAGCGTGAAGCGTTGATTTCGAAATTGTTTTTCCACATATGCAAAAAGCTTCTTAGAAAGTTATGGGATTAATTGCGGTAAATTTGCAAGATGCGTAGCCAGAATTGTCAACACCTAAGCACTTGGTACCTAAACCTATGGAACAGCTTATCCACGCTCAGTGCAATGCTGACCCTCTTGTAATCCTGAGTCATTCAAACCGCGCAAAATTTCAAGATATAACCCAATAACCTCCTTCACAAGGGCGTTCCGCAGAAGGCAGATTTCAAGTTGGTGTTACATAGTCTTTATAACGTACATACTGTGGAAATGAATTAAATTTCGCGACCCTTCCTTGTCAGTCTTTCCAAGAACTGTCTGTCTTGAGAATGCAAGTCGCTGAAGATAATCTTTCACTCAAAGTGTACCGGACCGAGAGCTTTGTGACTGCTGCATTAGTCTCGCCGAAAAGGTTTACGCGCGATAACCGACTTTATAGTTTTATCTATCTTCCGTGCTAAATATCAGAAAGGAAAAGGTTGACGAAGCAGCAGTAGGGTACACTTTTTTTCATATCTCGTGTAAGCATTGATAGCGTTACAAACATGAGGATAGTATGCATGTAAACTTCTGTTACCATGACTACGGTTTTCATGATCATTTATTTTGTTGCTTCGAAGCTCATAACTATTTGCATAATCATGGCATGAACAGCAAAGGTTTGTAGCCAATGATAAGTTGAGCGACGAAAAATTCCATAAAAAACTCCATAAATTCGACTTCTGATACATGATCTTCCAAAAAGATGTGCTTACTGTTTGGTTGTCAATAACTCTCTTGTAAAGAAGTTTTAGCTCCTAGTAATGTTTTGTAGAGCTGGTTCCACCTTAGATTGACGCTATAGAGCAAATTAAGAATTTATCTTCATTAATGTAGGAGCACAAAAGGAACTTGCAGCATATGGCGCCACTGTGAAAAAGGCCGTTTGGAAAGAATTCTTCAAAGAAAACCCTGAAAGATTGTGTAACAAAGTTTTCATGCATGCTGATTTCAGTACACAAATTAAAGCGCTTTTGTAGAGCTTTCTAAATGGCCTAATCAGATTTTTGACGAATAGCAGAAACGCCGTTGGTTGCTGTGGTATATCTGACAGTTATGAAAAGTGCCTTAAGTGCGAGTTCCATGTTTGAAATCAGCGACTCCGACCAACTTAGTGCAGGAGCTTTGTGGCTTTGCTGGCTCTGGTTGATAGGAACCGTGCTATTCATACCTTCGATACATAGAGCCATGTACTCTGGTAACCTTTGCTTTAAGTGTCATGATAGAACCTAAAGTTCACCTGGAAAGAATAACAGAAGTCATCCGGGTCGAAGCCAAGAATTATGACATACATAACTTTACAGGAATGAGTGTGAATGAGGCAAGTACAGGAAGTTTGAAAAGTTCGTGTCCTCAAGTACATCCAATTCGAATTTTGACGCGCTTTTTGTTTTATTGGGCTCATCAGCCTAGAAACCATTAATTCAGTGAAACCAGCTTTTCTTGTGGTTTTTTAGTTTTTTTATTAGGTTGAATTATATCAATATAGCTTTCCAAACCACTTACTTAAAACGCTTGTTACTAAGAAGGAAACATATTTCAAGAACATTAGGTATACATTTTGAAAGCCCTTTCCTTTAAGGTTTTTCACATGTTATTTTATTTTCGTAGAAGTAAGTTCGATTTTGAAATACCGTGTCTTGAAATACAAGAGATCCAGTTTCAGTATTTTTTGTCAGTAAACCCAGCACTGAAATTTTTATATTATTTTATCTTTAAAACGTTCGCTAGCGTGCAAAATTTTTGTAAATTGATACAATGAAGATCAGAGAGCTGCGCTACAACATGTTTAAATAAGACTTCGAAACTTTTTAAACCGAAAATTAACGTAAACTTGTGCCGCGATTGTCTGTTGTAATTTAGCACATGATTAAAATTTTTGTTCGCAAACTGCTGAGGAACTTCTTTATATGAAGAAAGTGTAAACTTAGAATTATTTATAGTAGAAAACGGAAAGCTGTCTCCGCTTTACGGAGTTGAAAAAAGTAGAATAACTCAAACAACGCACTCTTTCTTCTTCGAGGAAGCTGAAAAATTTGTTTGCTTCCAAATTTTTTAAGGTATCTTGAGGCAAAAAATATTTTTCTTTGTTGACCCAGTGGTTTCTACGTTTAGCGAACACATATAGCAAAAAACTAGTTAGGATTCGCAATTGAAGTACTTGAGGACACGAACATTTCAAGCACCCTGTATAGTGAGTAATATACAAAAAAGCACAGCAAACCAAAATGTTGCCCTTTTGTAGCATTTTCTGCTGAAAAAAAGGTTTTTATCCAAAAATTCCCTTGGAATTTAAAAAAAATTCTTATTCAAACTTTTTGTAGACTATGATTAAGTGAAAAGTTTAAGAAAGCCGTTGGAGTTAATAAGAACAAGAAACTGCGCTTAAATCTTACGCAAAGAGTCGCCACTTAAATGCTGGTTTATCTCGTTATGGAGTGATTTTCAACATCCGCGACATTATCAGTGCTCCTGGTTGTGTCATGAGGATCACAAGAATATATAGTGTTGCAGGTTTTCGTTAAGACCCCGCCGAGATTTACGAGCAGAGCCAAACGTCGCTACCCCAAACGCGGGGAGCGGAGCGTTTGGTTCTGGTGCCCATTTCTTCGTCGTTTTCAAATTGATCCCAACAAACATTATATCATATTGAAGCTCTTGATCTCTACTTTCACGCTTAACGTCGCAGAACTCCAATTTTTGATTTGGACGAGAAATCTTTCAAATACCATGTTTTCAAAAATCCCTTGTTTTTTCTTCAGTTTGGCTCTTTTCAAACGGGTTTTTCTGTGTATTTCATAGATCTTGCTTCCGTTCGTAAGGTGAACAACGTCGCGGGGCTAACTTATTCGATTGTGGTGGAATATCTAGCACAAAGCCGCAAAAAGTGCGTTTTTGTTTATAGGCCTTATTGGAGTAAGTAGCATTTTGCTCAGAATTATGAGCACAACAGAGCTGAAAACGTCGCCAAAATCCACGGAAAGGGGCTAAAGATGCAAAGGACGCATCAAAAAGTAGATTGCCTTTGACGTGCATTTCGAATTAGGAAAAAACAAAATTGAAATTTTCATAACTGAATGTTTTTCGTTTATGTTCTTCTTGTTAATCACCGGTTTCAAAATATGTTTGTCTTTGAAACAATCGAAGCTTTCAAAAGGAAACTGAGGAAAGTTGACATTTGCCTGTTACTGAACAATCCTTTGTGACTTGTTCCTGGTCTATTTTCATTACAGGTCTGCTTGTTTCTGGTCTATTTCATGCTGGCCCTCGCTTGTCGACTCATGTGTTTCGGACTTTGCTTTCCCCACATCGCTTTTGCGAAGCCGCTTTCGTGAAGCTTTTTCCTAGAGTCGTTTCACGATTCCATGTTTTTTTTCGGATTGTGTTCGTATTTCACGATTTATCGTGTTTACTAATCATGCTTTGCTGGCTTGTCAACCACTTTCGGATGAGCAATAGCATTGCGCCTTAGTACCGTAGATAGCTGCGTTTCATGCATGACTTTCCCAGAATAAGGCAGGTGTATCCAAGCGTCGGTGGTATCAGGTTGGTGGGTACCTGACAAGAACCAATCGCAGACGATTTGGACAGCCCGGAAAAGTGGCAGTGGCATTTTCCTATGCCAATCACCTGAGCTCCCTTGACCAGATAGAAATTTTTTTCTCAACACCTGAGGCACTTATTCGTTGTTTGTTTGTTCTGCTGAAAGGTGACAGGCTAGTCTCTTACTCTAGCAGTGTTTCTTTACTCACACAGGCTTTGGCACACGTTTA